GGTAAATGTTCTAATTGATAGTGGGGCCACCCACAATTTTCTATCACAGGGCTTGGTGGAAAGGTGGAATATACCTTATCACCCTATTCAAGGGTATAAGGTACAAATTGGAAATGGAGATTGCATTCCAAATATGGGCAAATGTACCGGATTGCGACTGAAGGTGCAGGGAGTTTCCATTCAACAAACATATTATATGTTGGGGTTAGGAGGTGTTGACATTGTTCTAGGAATGGAATGGCTAACTGGGCTTGGAGACATGGAAGTCAACTTCAAGAAGCAAATCATTAAATGGCAACAGTCAGGAGAAACTTGCTTAATTAAGGGAGACTCAGTTTCTAATCAGTTGGAAGTGTCCATGAAAACCATGTTTAATATCATCAAGCAAGCTGGAGAGAGATATTTAATGGCATATGAAGGCCATATGAACCAACGGGAGCAGATTGTTGACAAGGTAGACATCTGGAAAAAGGTAATTGCTCAGTTTCCTGAAGTTTTCACTTCTGTATTACCTTTTCCTCCTGCCCGAAGTTGTGATCATGCTATTAATATTAAGGAAGGAGCCCAGATTCCTAACTTGAGACCTTATAGATATTCTTTTGACCAAAAGAATGAGATAGAGAAGATTATTGCTGAAATGCTAAAATCTGGGATTATCAAGCACAGCAACAGCCCATATAGTAGCCCAATCTTGTTGGCCAAGAAGAAGGATGGGGGTTGGAGATTTTGTGGGGATTACAGGGCACTTAACAAGATTACTATACCCGATAAATTTCCTATTCCTGTTATAGAGGAATTGCTTGATGAGTTAGGTGGAGCAAGAGTTTTCTCTAAGCTAGATCTTAAATCTGGTTACCACCAGATTAGAATGAGGACAGAAGACACTCATAAGACTGCTTTTAGAACCCATGAGGGTCACTACGAATATCTGGTTATGCCTTTTGGATTGACAAACGCACCCTCTACATTCCAATCACTGATGAATACTGTTTTGAGGCCCTGGTTGAGGAAGATTGCTCTAGTTTTTTTTGATGATATTCTGGTATATAGTAAGACCAAGGAAGAACACCAGGAACATCTGAAACTAGTTCTGGAAGCATTAAGGGAACATCAGTTGGTGGCTAACTTAAAAAAGTGTTCCTTTGGCCAAGAGAAATTGAGCTATTTAGGCCATATCATCTCGGCAGATGGTGTAGCAGCTGATCCTGAGAAAATTGAAGCCATGCAGAATTGGGGAGTACCTAAAGACCTAAAGGAATTGAGGGGATTTTTGGGTCTAACAGGGTATTACAGGAGGTTTGTAAAAGGGTATAGTAAAATTGCAGCTCCTTTGACAGCTTTACTGAAAAAGGACAGTTTTAGATGGAGTGATGTGGCCAATCAAGCTTTTCAGAATCTGAAGATTGCTATGACTACCTTACCTGTGTCAAGGATCCCTGATTTCAACAAGACATTTGTATTGGAGACTGATGCTTCTGGGAAGGGGTTGGGTGCTGTCCTTATGCAAGAAGGAGGCCCTGTTGCGTATATGAGTAAGGAGCTTTCACCCAAAAATCTCATTAAATCTGCTTATGAGAAGGAGTTGATGGCCATTGTATTGGCTATACAAAAGTGGAGACCTTATTTGCTTGGCAGGTTGTTTGAAGTGCATACGGATCAGAAGAGTTTGAAGTATTTGACAGAGCAGAAAATGATGGGTGAAGAACAACAAAGGTGGATATCTAAACTTATGGGATATAATTTCATCATAAAGTACAAACCAGGGATAGAAAACAAGGCAGCTGATGCTCTTTCAAGGAAGTATACTTATGCAGCCCTATCAACAGTTACTTGCACAGAATGGGAAGGACTGGCAGATGAGATACAGAAGGATCCTAAGTATGGAGAGATGATACAGAAGATGGTAACACAAACTGATCAATTCAGTGAGTATAGAATGAAGGGTGGTTTACTGTATTACAAAGATAGACTGGTGTTACCAAAAAGGAAGTCCTAGAATACTATCTATCCTTAAGGAAAACCATGACACAGCAGTAGGAGGACATTCTGGGTATTTCAGGACGATGAAGAGGATTTCAAACTTGTTCTTTTGGGCAGGAATGAAGGCTGACATCAAAGATTATATCTTGGGGTGTGATATTTGTCAAAGAAACAAGTACCAAGCTTTAAGGCCTGCAGGGCTTCTACAGCCCTTACCTATACCAGATAAAGCTTGGACTGATATTAGCATGGATTTCATTGGTGGCTTACCAAAATCACATGGTAAAGATACAATCTTAGTGGTCGTGGATAGATTGACAAAGTTTGTTCATTTCATACCTTTGGCACATCCTTTTAATGCCAAAGGTGTGGCAGAAGTGTTTGTTCAAGAGGTGGTTAAGACTCATGGATTTCCCAGGTCCATAGTCAGTGACAGGGACAGCCTTTTCCTAAGCTCATTTTGGTCAGAACTGTTCAAGCTAGCGGGAACCAAGCTCAAATATAGCACTGCCTACCATCCGGAGAGTGATGGACAAACTGAAGTGGTTAACCGATGTTTGGAAACCTATCTTAGGTGCATTACTGGAACAAAACCTAAGCAGTGGGTTAAATGGATACCGTGGGCTGAGTATTGGTTCAATACCAATTACCACAGCTCCTTGAAGAGTACTCCCTATCAGGCTCTGTTTGGTCAAGTTCCTCCACCTATCATTAGAGGAGATGTGAGTTTGACTGCAATTGAAGAGGTGGCCAAGCTAACTACTGAAAGAAATCAGATGTTGGATGAGTTGAAGGAAAACTTAGCTAAAGCCCAGAATTTAATGAAGCAACAGGCCAATAAGAAAAGAAGGGAAGTGAAGTTGGAAGTGGGGGACATGGTCTTCCTAAAGATTCAGCCCTATAAGATGAGGAGTCTTGTGAAGAAGATCAATCAGAAACTTAACCCGAGGTTCTATGGACCCTATGAGATTGTGGAAAAATTGAATGAAGTAGCTTTCAGGCTTAAATTACCTCCAGGAAGTAGGGTACATCCTGTATTCCACATATCTCTACTAAAGAAGGTGTTAAAGCCGAATGCTATCTCTCAAGGTCTTCCCAGTTGCCTCACCGAAGAATGTGAACTGCAAGTAAGCCCTGAAACTGTGAAGAAATGCAGAATGAATCCAGAAGGGGAGAAGGAGATACTAGTTCATTGGAAGAATCTCCCTGATTTTGAAGATTCGTGGGAAGAGGTGCAAGTCATTCAAGAACAATTCCCAGAATTCCAACTTGGGGACAAGTTGGGTCTTCAAGGGGAGGGTATTGATAGGTACCCCGACTACTAGTCTAGCTAATGGAGGCAGATTTGGACAGGTGTACTCGAGGAGGCCTAAATAGACTAGTGTTGTTATTAGTTAAAGCTGTTAGTAACTAATAACCGCCTTCTTTTAGGGAAGGCTATAAATAGTATTTCCTGCGGCTGGATAGGCAGGCTTGTTCAGACTTAATGTCTTGACTGGGAAGTTAGAGTTTTATCTCTATCTTTGGGCTGTTTGTAACAGATTGTTGCCATTAATAAACTGATTGATTTCTTTTCCTTAATTTCTTGTTTCTTCCTTGTTCTGGATCCGATAGTTACCCATCAGTTTTGGTCAATCGATTTTAGCAACTATTAGGGCATGTGAAATCGAGAATCGGACTAAAAAACTTGAGGGTCACCTTGTTTAAATTTCGGTCGATTGTAGCTTGTTTTGGTCAGGTTTTATCGACTAATTTTGATTTGACCAGTTTTTTAACACAAAAGTATCTGTAAACTGAATCACCGATGTATTAGTCCGTTTCGGTCGGTTTCGGGTTTAGTTGATCGGCTTAGGCCAATTTCAATTTTGGTCGGTTCAATTTCGATCAATTTGTTGACGGTTTCGATTTTTCGGGTTTTGTTATTCACCCTTAGTAGGCCTCACCTATCGCTACACATTTTTTAGTCGATTGAAGGAGATGCGGAGATGCCCACATAAGCCATATGGCGGATTTATATATGGCTCTTTAAAACTTCTTATAAATATACTCCGTAGAAAAAAAATCAATAATGACAGCAACTACTGTTGTAAGGATATAATGCGAAGCAATAATACATTAAAGGTGTTGCTAAATCTTGTTTCATAAATCTTGGGCACAAACTCATGTTTCAATTAATGGAGAATGAACGGTAATACTAAAGGTGTTTCAGTTCATTGATACGCTTGGGGAGTGCCCAGATTTTCCCAGATTATGTCGGTTTGAATGTGAAAGCTTCTTCTGCTCTGGATGATATTGACACTTGTGATGATGGGTTTAAGGATCTTGGTAAACCTGAGCAGACTCAGCTCAAAGAAGCCACTTTTAATTTGCAAGCAGTCTGCCAAATTATTCTAGTTATTAGCAATCTTTTGAAGGGAGCTGAGCATGCATGTTCTGGATTATGATGTTAGTCTAAATCAATAGATGAGAATGTAGTTGTAACAAGCAAGATTGAATTGAAGTAAATGACATTTTAGATTGAGGTGTTGACCTCTGCTAAAGTTTTACAATTTTAGCTATTTTGGTCTTATTGTTGGTTGAAAAGTAATAAAAATGATTCCTCCGTTACAAAAATGTCCTCCCTAATTCCGAGACCATCTCCATATACAAAAAAGTTAATGCACTTGTATTAGTTCAGTAAAAATTGAGTTCATCATTTTAATACGGGTCTGACATTTCAATATGGTGACTAATTCAAGGACTAAACGTGCATTGTTCCCTTCTATAATTTATTGGAGGCTAATGTTGGAATTAAAACAATATAAAGCTATTCATTCACATTTTAAGATGTGTTTTAACAACCGTCTAGAAAATAAAGTTACGAACGTTTTGGAATGGCTCCATAAAGAATGATAAGAAATCTAATTGCCAAGTTCTTTTATTTATCAAATGGAGATTGTTGTGATTGATGAATAAATATAAAAGAAAGACATCATAAATTAGAGGGATGAATGAAAAACAAAAGAAAAATTAGAGACACGTAAATCAAGAACTGGTATCACTATATTTAAAAGCACTAGAAACAAATTTGAGCAATTTTTAGGTTTACACTTGTTTGTACGCATGGACAACTTCTGAGTTTTTAAACTAGCTGCATCTGTAGTCTGTACACAAGCAAAATAAAGGATGCACACAAAAATGTACCAAAAACGTATACACCTAGTTTTTTCAACATATTTAAGCCAAAGCTAAATCTACCTGATTCTACTAGCCCTTTACCTCTAGGCTTCTCAAGCTTCGGACCAGACCGCCAGACCATCTCCTCCACATGCTTAGAGACGCAGCTCATCTCCCTCCACCTGCTCCACGCTGCACCAGCTTCTCTTTAGCCGCAACAACTCCACCGCTGCAACTGCTCAACCAACACCGCCATCTCAATGACATACCACATAATTGACCAGGGCTTCTTCTACCTCTTCTCTTTGAATCAAGACAATGGAGCTTGGGATTTCAGATCATATTACTGCCATAATTGAGAGAATTTTCCAAATATCACACTATTTAATCCTATTTTGGAAATAAAAAACACCATGTGAAACCTGTCGAGACAATAGGAGTAAAATCAATGTGATAATAAATATCACATTGATTTTACTCCTATTTAGGGCGACTTTGTTTATAAAAACAAATGTGAAACCTGTTGAGACAGCATATAATCAATAACTCGCATCAGCAAAGCTTCTGGTTGTGGACATGAGATCATACTTGACTGCAAAACCAACTGAAATTTTAAGGACAATAGCCTGGCTATGTGGTTCCACTTCTGATAAAACTAGAACCTCTAGCTTTTCTAACATTGTCATTGAGCATCAACTCCCTTACCCTTTCTGATTGTCCCAATCGGCCACTCAAAACATATAAATCAGAAATAAGAGAGTAAACCCCTCCATCATTCTCTGGACTCACAGTCTTCATTACCCTCTCAATGACCCTATCGCCCATCTCAAATTGTTTATGTAGTTTACATGAAGACAGGAATGAACCCCAGATTATAACGTTGGGTTCAAAACTCATTGAATTGATGACCTCATACGCTTCCTCCAGTAGTCCCGCCTTTCCGAACAAGTCAACCATACATCCGTAGTGTTGAATGCTACGCGACAACCCATACTCTTCTTTCATCATTCTAAAATATCGGCGGCCCTCTTCCACTAATGCCGTTTGAGCACAAGCACTAAGCACACCTGTGAATGTTACTTCATTAGGCCTCACACCAGCCTCATTCATCTTCCTGAATATCTCTAGCGCTTCAATTCCAAAACCATTATTCGCTGCACCACATATCAAAGACGTCCAAGCTACGACATTTCTGTCTCTCATTGAATCGAAAATCAAGCAAGCATTCTTTAAGACCCCGCATTTCGAATACATGTCAACCAAACAGGATCCAAAGTTGGCATTCATTTCCCACTCATTTCTTATTGCAAAACCATGCAACATTTTCCCCAAAAGCAACCCTATTGAACCCATATGGCAACAACCTGCCAATACTGGGCCCAATGTTATTTCATCAGGCTTTAAATCATTAGCAGTGATCACCATCTCCCGGAAGATAGCTAACCCTTCTCTCCACCTTCGGTTGTTCATATAAGCTGCAATTATTGCTGACCATGAGGCAAGGTCTTTCAGAGGCATTTTATCAAACACTTCACGCGCTTCATCTATATAGCCACAGCTAGAGCATGCCTTGATCATGGTGTTCCACGTGATGGTATTCTTTATTGGCATTTCATCGAACAGATTATATGCACCGCGGAAGCAAGAGACAGCGTAAGCATTGAGCAAAGCTGTGGCAACGTAGATATGGGAGCAGAACCCTTCTTTGATGATATGGGCATGGAGGTGACGTATAATGCCCAAGTTTTGAAGCAGCGTAGAAGACTTGAGAGTGAAAAGAATGGCGAAGCTGTCAGACGGAACTCCTAACCGTTGCATCTTCCTGTATATCCTCAAGGCTCTTTCAGGAGATTCAGCATTCCTTAGGGCAATACACCATGTACTGAAGGCCCGGAAACCGAATTGCATTGGAGCCGAATTGAGTTTGTTTATCATAGATCCGTTTTTTCATTCATTTTTGAGCCTTTGGGTGTTTATATGGAAAAATCTAAACTTTGGGAGTATTCTGGGATTGAAGGAAAGCGGCCAGCCGATTGTATATATTTTCTGATATCAGCGATTCAGCGGATTAGGTGTTTAGAGTTTAGACAAACACTTTGTGTGTTATTGATGAAGTTTGAGTTGAAAAACCGCGGTTTGATCACTTTTAAAGAGTGTTGGGTTTGTTTTAAAAAAGCGCTTTTCAGCTTTTGGTTTAAAAAAAGTTGAAAAGAGTGTTTTCAAATTACAGCTTCTGCTTAAATTAATCTCTTAAAAGCTGGAAGCTGGAAGCATGTAGAAGGGTGCTTTAAACTGTTTCTCACTTTTTCTATTACACAAAAAATACTTATTTTACCAAACACTATCAACTTTTACTTTTCCAGAATCACTTTTTTCTCAAACACTACCAACTTTTACTATTAATCACTTTTCCCAAAATCACTTTAAAAAATCACTTTTCTAAAGTTGAAGCTAGCAATTGCAAACACTCCCTTAGTGTTATTGAAAAAAATGAAAAAGCTGTTTGGTAGATATTGTTCGGCACTAACGCTTTTGGCCGGAAACGCTGAAACGAAAATGTTTTTAATACAAGAGTTTTAGGTTGACGTTTTAAAAAGTGACGTTTTCCACTAAACATCTTCTGAAAACCCTCTAATTTATTCCGGTAGTCAAACTCGTTGATTGAATCTTGTATTGACAACCCACTAACATAACTCGCTATATGCAGAATGTCAAACACGCCCATTATCAGTTTGTCATAAAATGTTGAGAAAAGGTGCCCTCTCAATTTGGAGGCAAGAGCATCAATGCCCTTAAACTTTTTTTTTGGACAAATAGCTTTAAAGTTCCCAAAAGGAGGGCAACCACCCCATTTGTTTTTTTACGGTAACCCCAAATCCCAATAACCTAATTAGCAGATTGGCAACTACGGAGTATTAAAGTTGCTCATTTGAATTTTCAATAAAATAGATAGTACTCCCTCCATCTCAAAATGAATGTCTTTTTCACAAGTTTTAAAAAAGTGCTTGAAAAATAAAAGTTGTGGTTGAGATTTAAGTAGAGAAAAAGTGAATTGATATGAGTTACATATTATTATTATTGTCAAAAGAGGAAATGAGACAATTATTTTGGGACAGACCAAAAAGGAAAGCAGGAAAGTTATTTCGGATGGAGGGAGTATATTTTTATTTTATTTATTAGTAACTAATTTTGTTAATTAGTTAAATAATACATAGTATAAAATATAAATAAAATGATTAAAAGTACAAGCAAACCATAAAGCCACTAAAACGTTTTTTTGTTCATCTAATCTAAATGTTTCTGATCTGAATTTTTTAAGATCTGGCCCGATCTGATCTGAATGTTTCTGATACGAAATAATTACATAAAAAAGTTATTAGTAATTAGAAAAAAGTTATTAGTAAAAAAAGTTATTAGCAATTAAGAATGAATTGCTCTATATTATGACTAGTGGTGTGCGCACTATGTACCAATAGTGCCCAATGTAGTTACTTTAAGGGTGTGATTACAAAAAAGTACCTCGTAATATTCAAAAACAATTTTCAAGTATTTGAAAACTGAGTATAATAATTACAAAGTTAGTATCTGTTCATTTTACAAAGTGAAGTGGGGGAAACTGGGCCAAGAGATTTGAAAAGGGTCAACTTTTGACCTTGCCCCTGGACAGAGTTACTTGGTCAGGCTTGCAGTCCAAGAAAGAGTATCTCTTTGGGCAGATCGACATGCAATTCAAGCTTGTTGCTGGAAACTCTGCTGTCACCATGCCTTCCTACTATCTATCTTCAGAAGGAACAACAAATGATGAAATAGGCTTTGAATTTCTGGGAAATGTTACTGATCGACCTTGCATTCTCCACACAAACATCTACCCCCAAGAGAAATGTAGGAGGGAGTAACAACTCTACCTCTAGTTTGACCCAACCAAGAACTTCCACACCTATACTCTCATCGATCTGGAGGCCCCAAGACATCATCTTCATGGTTCAAGTACACAGAATCAATGGGAGTTCTGTTTCCGAAATAAAATTTTGAAAATAAGTATCGAATAAAATTTTAAAAGAGAATACTCCAATAAGTATTCTTAAAAAGAGAAACTTTAAGCTTTTATTCCTTTATTTAGATTAAATAAGTTTTATTTTGAAAATAAAATTGCAATAATTCTATTTGTAAGCTTTGATAACTTGTATTGAATAATTTTTATTGAAAAAATAGACTAGCAATTTTAAGGTTGAATAATAATACAAGAGACACACAACTCTCTCAGTGTCTCGCATACAAAGATGGAGGGAGACAACAGACATTTTATGAAATAGTTCGCATCCAAGTAAATGCATCCTTTAACCTTTCTTTGTATGTGATGGTGTAAATTTCCTATTATGTATGTATTTTTAACTAGTTTTATTAGTTCTAGTTGTGGAAATTACGCACTTTTGGTGTAAAACTTTATTTTCATTAATTATTTGTAATTTATTTAGATTAGGATTATTCTGAACTTAGGACATGTCAAAATCATCCCAAGAATCAAAGGATGGATCCTAAAGACTAAAGAATGTTCAAAAAGGAGAAGATCAAATGAAGATTTTGAAATTTGTTCAATACTCGGTCGAGTATTGCCAATACTCGATCGAGTATTGACCGGATACGCTGGTCAAAATCAAATCTGGGAGAAAAAGAATGTGGCTGAATATTTGATGAAAATCTTGTCTCATACTCGGTCCAATATTGGCAATATACTCGGTCGAGTATGCCTATTTTTCACAATTTCTAGAAAACTACCTCTAATACATACTCGGTCCAGTATCCCATATACTGGATCGAGTACAGCACTCTGCCACCTCCATTTTGCTATAAATACACCCCTTTTCTTTCACATTAAAATCAACAATTCACATATACTCTTAAGCTCAGTTTAGATTAGTGTTTCCTTTATATTTTCTAGTATGTTTAGTATACAAATGAGGAGCTAAACTCTTCCATCTTGGTTTTGCTACTTTGAAGCTTAATGAATTGTAAGTTGTGAGTTATTTTCTTTAATCTTCTTCCTTGAATATTAATTCTTCCTGTAATCTATCTATATATTAATGTTGGGGAGTGTTACTATGATGACAATTAGTTAACATCTTGACATTAGTTATAGTAGTATTCATTTACTTCCTCTATATTAATGTTGGGGAGTGTTACTAAGATGATAATTAGTAGTTAACATGTCGACATTAGTTATAGTAGTATTTATTTTCTTCCTCTATGTATTAATTTTGGGGAGTGTTGTTAATATGACAATTAGTTAGCATCTTGACATTAGTTATAGTAGGATTTATCATCTTTAATATTCTTCCTTGAATATTAATTAATTCCTATTCATATTTTATATTAACATTTTGAACATTACTTAAAGGATCAACTAGTTTTGTTTCATATATTAATTATCACTAGAATCGATCGACGAGTACGCTTGTTAATCGTTCGGTCTTTTCATGGTAGTAAACTTGGATTATTAATGCATGCGTCTCATGGTTAATAATCTAAGGGGAATTAATTATATTGATTAAACCAATAAACCGCTTGTGTGTTATCAATCTCAATCGTTTTCATCTTAAGTTTATTGCTACCATCGGATTAATATACGGCACGTGTTCTATATTGACTCGATAGTAAGTTGTATTAATGAACGCGTCTCGTTATTAATAACTACCCTCGATGAACTCGATATACTCCTCGATTGAGTATTCGAGAGGAAGATAGTTAAAGATATAACCGGGATCGACGAACATTTCATTAAGTGGATGAATGCAAAACCAAGTCTTCATTTCCATTAATTAAAACACATAAGTCGTTCATCTTAGTATTAATTAAATTAAATCAAATCAAACTAAAATCTCCCTTTTGTTACTAGTTATATAAAAGAAAAGTATTCTTTTCCCTGTGGATACGAACCTTACTTCAATATACTACGTATATTTGTTGTATTGATTATAACTTTGAGTGCACACCACGACAAAATACATGCCAGTATGGCAAACCAGAATACCTCATTAGAGACTGACTTATTTACTAATCGGCGGTAGCAAAAAAATCCTAATAGATCCTTTGTGATGCTTCAAGACATTTTTAATTGTCTTGATATAGGGATACACCCCAACATTGTCAAAGTTCAACTGCCAAAGATCGTGCCAAGCCTCTCTGAAGAAGGTCGACAAAATAGCTACTATTGTTGCTTCTTCAATAAGCAATAATGCCGAGATATTGTCCATTATAGGCAAAAGAATTTGTGTCTTAACATGGTACCAGATCCAAGTCCGATTGTGGTTTAACTATTTTTTTTAAACTGATATAGAAACTAGTCCATTGTTAATAGAAAAGTATACAACAAAGAAACCTACACAATATCTACTAAATGAGATTTTTTTCATACTAACATAAAACATACGGAGTATATGTTATATGTTGAGTCTATGCTTCTTGGCTCTCATGAAGACTGACGACGTACTTCCATAGCTCTATTGAACCACCTAACCAGCACGCGCAGTGAACTCCAGCCATAAAACTCGGCAAGCAGAAACGTGTGGCTTCCAAAGCCATCCAAAATTTGGCTGCTCGATAAATGTGGCAATGACTGAGCGCGGTTGTAGATATGACAAATACGTATTCCAATGGGGATTTTGTCAGTTTGTTCTGGTACTTCATCACAATCAGCATCAGAAGCACATGAAAGCCTTGAAGTACAACTTCATCACCCTCAAAGAAGCTAGGTAACCAAATGAAAGCACATACTGACCGATTATTAATGCAAGGACTTTATTCGTAAAATACATTGCACATTAGTTAGTCATTTATATATCTCCCTATTTTTACTTATAGCTAGCAACAATCAGTTATGATAATTGTTAATATATAGTGTTGCGATCGGCTTTGTAATCAGATCATTATAATCAGAATAAACAACTGCTTCATACTTCTTCTATTCTTAAATAAACTCAACGGTCAACATTTTCACATTTGTCAAGGCACAACTTTGACCATTAATATATATAGTTCTTTATTAGTAAAAAAAATTAAAAATTAGATTTTGAAAACTTACAATGACACAAATTTAATACGTAGTAATATTTTTTCA